TTATACCATGCCATAACTGCCCTGCGCGCCATCCTACAACACCCCGCTTACCGCACAAGGTCGTACCATCATTGTCGATGTCGCCGTCGGGGTCGTTCTCCGCACGCGCGCTCGACTCGGTCAAATGCACCAATCAAAAAAAATATCCTTAATTCCTGCTTAATCAAAAATAAATAAATAATAATATCACCAAGCAAAATGACCGAGATCCGAGCCGGCTACTACGATCAACAACATAAAGAAATCACGCACGCCTTAAACCTGCGTGCTCACGCACTCGCTATTGTGGTCAACCACCCAGTCAACGCAATTACAGACGCAGCCGCACTTAGCGCGGTATACTTAAACTTTAAACCAAAACTTTTTTTCTGTTACTTGCAAAACCAGGGCGGATACCCTTGTAAGGGTATTCGCGCCGACACCGTGAGCCTGAAAGATTGCAGGAGGATTGACAGTTGGCAGTTCGGCGTCAGCTGGGAAGGCTGCAGCGTGTTTTGGCCATCATTGCGGGGCCCTCAGGCGCACGAAGGTTACAAGGCCCTCTCCTGCGAGTCTGAGCGCACCCTTCGTGGATCTGAGAGACTAAACCATCCTTATTCTGTCTTTCTCCCTCTAAGTCTAGTCTATTTGATTCTGAGAGGAAGGCGGCAGGCGGGATTGCAACCCGTAATCCGCGTCAAGGCCTCTGTGGGAGGTTCGCCCCACCGATTGCGGGAGCTCTGCCCGAGCCTAGGCGAGGCTCTGGAGGCAGGGAATTGAAAGGTAACCATTTGCTTTCCCTTTATATGCCCTGGTATAACCCCTATCTGTACCCCTTGCTATGTTTGACTGAGTATGTTGCATGCACCCCTATCTTGACTTTAGTTTGACTGGCAGAACACCACTTAGATTAAGTAAAGGAATGTGTGCGCAATCTCAGTTTCAGTTTTTGTTGATTGCCTGAAGGCAAATTGTGAACACAAGTGGTTGCATCTGGGGGAAGGGTGGGTGAAAGGTGGTTTTGCTTGAGCCTGAATGGGTCCTATGGGGTCAGACCAGTTCCATAAGATTGGACGGCCTGACCGCTGTGTTTTATTTTTGAATTGCATGGAGAGTCGGACCAGTTCCATAAGATTGGACGGCCTGATTGCTCTGAGTTGTGAGGGCTTGACTGTGGTTGACTTTTCAGGAGCCAAGCCTCTACCATAAGATTGGAAGGCTTGGTTGTCATGCTTTAGTTGGGGTTTGTTCTGTTTTATTTGTTTTTGAGAGAGGGGGTCTGAGCAAGTCCATAAGATTGGACGGCTCAGCCTCTTCCTGGTTTATTTTGAGGGGATAATTCTCGCTGGGGGCAAGGCATGTCCATAAGATTGGACGATTTTGGACTCATGCCGCACACAGTTGGATCAGAGAGAAACGAACCTTGCAAAAGACTAGATGTGTTCCATAAGATTGGACGGTCTGGCCCAATGCCTCGCACATGCTGGAACCCAAAAGGTTAAATTTTGGCTGTATTTTATACTATCTTATTTATGAACAAGCTAGTCAGGCATGGGTTCCATAAGATTGGACGGTCTGGCTATAGCTTATCATGAAATGAAGAGAGTATAACTAAGAGTATAATTGAAGGTAACCGTGGGCAGGCGGGGCCTTGTTCTAAGATGAACGACTCAGTCCTATGCCCAACTTTTGGACACCAAGCTCTGAGAGGTATATATAATTTGGATATTAAAGAGGTCAGGGCGGCTGAGCCTTGTTCTAAGATGAACGACACTGTCATATGCCCAAAAGGAAGAGAGAAGTAGTTGTGCAACATGTTCGTGTATACTCAATCGCTGAGTCAGGCAGGTTCCATAAGATTGGACGGCTTGACTTTATGCCCTATATAAGCAGGGTATAAGGGGATAAAGCATTAAGAGATTACAAAATATTGTTTGCAAAGTTGGCTTGGGGATGGTGAGAGTACTTACCTTTGTGGTTTGGCCTGCATGTGACTGAGTGAGGCTACTACTTGGTCTGAGTTTCAGTTTGACAGGTAGTTGCTTTAGAGGCTCGCCACGTGCTAGAGCGATAGGAGTTAGCTTCAGTTTTTGCATTTTCTGAGCTAAGTTTATTTTACTTAGATCGATTCTCGCATTTTCATGGATCTTTTGTTATACTTGGCTTTGTATAAATTTTGGTAAGCTACTTTCTCTACGGCAAGCGCTGCCAAAATTTCTGCAAATCCAAGGAGTTAGTCAAATTTTGACTTGTCAAAGTTCAGCTTGTCTAAAGTTTATATATGACCTAGTAAAAATCTGGAAAGTCTCATTTTCTAAGGGGAGTTTTTCCCAAATTTTTGCTAATTGAGGGAGTTAGACAAAATTGGGCTTTGGAAAGTCAAGGACTATTTTTTTGTTTCATATTCGGGCTGATAGAAATTCTGAAAAAACACTTTTCCTATGGGAAGCGCTGCCGAAATTTTTTTGATTTAGAGGAGTTAAGTTATATTTCGATAGGTGGCGATTCTGGCGATCCATCCTAAATAGGGGAGATTCTGCCATTAGTCTACCTTTGCTTTGGGCACTGGCTTAAAGGTAGGCCTGAACTTAGTTGGCAGAAAACTTTGAGTGAGAATGTGCTATGGAGGTTCATCCCCCATATGTTGATGATTTAGTTTGGGCATTGACCTGTCTCATGGTACAGACCTTTCTTGGACATTCTATTCAGGATTTGGGCTAGCGTCAGCTTGATCCTACAAGGATCGTCTTCTGTTATCACTGATAACAGGTCGGTTGCCGACTCGTCGGTTTACGATTCAACTTCAATTCACCCCTGCCACTCAACCTAAAGGTTTTAGTCTTGTGATTGAACTGTTTTGTTGTGTTTTTACCCGGACTTTATTGAATGGCCATCCAACAAAAGTACTGAGTATTTATTTAAGAGTTTCACGAGTGAGGCTTGTATGGCCAAAGCGAGGGGTATGAGTGCAAGGAATGGTTGAAGTTGACCCCGTGTAGTGCGTGGACTTCTGGTCGAATCTTTGATGTGAGTGCAGGTATGGTTGTGGTTCGGACTCTAGATGTGATTGCCTACGATTTCATACCTATATGGCTGAGAGGAGCCTCACTGTGACTGTGAGAAGTGATCGTCCTATATAATCAACCCTTATATACTTATAAGTGCCCTGAGTATTTGAGAGACCTACTGTAATTGAGCATAGGGGTTAACCAGATTGTGTCTTGAGAGAAAAGGGAGATTTTCTTTTTACCCTTGCTTTTTAGAGTTTGTATGGTTGGACGTTGTAGTCCGTGGCAGCCGTCAAAGTTAAACCCCTTGACTTTCGCCCAGGTCCGGAGTGAGACTCATCTCCAGGGCAGTAAGAGGCGACTGCCACCACAGGTATGAACCTGTGTACCACCCGCTCTGCACAAGAGGGTGTGTGGTCTTCAACTGCGCATGGCGGTTGTCCGGCGTCGAGAGATTGACCCTCAAGGCGCGTGTCAGCCGGCACTTGAGTGTCGAATGCGACCCTAGAGATTAACGAGGGCTGCGCGAGTATGGGTACTACTTGGTACGCTATCATTGTGACTGCTTGTGTATGCTTGTATTGCGAGTCGATATGAGTTAGCCCTGTGTCCGCGCGGTATTATACTAAGTCTCGCGCGCGACACCCACCCGATTTCCTCGTCGAAAAGTTATGGGTTGGCTACCGAGGGGCTAGGAGCGTTGTCGCGTTGTTGTGTTGCGTCGTTTCGTGTGTGTGTGTGTTTTATTTTTGCGTTCGTATGCAGTGTGCGCGTGGTGTGTGGGATGCATCCTAGTCGACCGACGACGAGTTGCGCTTGCGACCTCAGCCCCCCAAGATGTCGGTTCGCGTGCGGGTCCGATAGGCGTACTACCGCGCGTACCCCCTATGCTACAGCGAACGAGAAACACCCTCGGCTGGTCCACCTC